AAGAGAGAGAGAGAGAGAGAGAGAGAGAGAGAGAGAGAGAGAGAGAGAGAGAGAGAGGGAGGGAGAGAGAGAGAGAGAGGGAGGGAGGGAGAGGGGCTAAGGGGAGGGGAAGGGTGCTACCTTGGGCATCTGTGGGTGACTCATGTCCTTGTCAATGACCACCCCCTTGACCAGCATAGTGTCCTCCAGTTTGCCGCCAACTTTACCCTCCATCTTGATCAGCTCAAAGTCCACGTCCTTCCTCTCCAGGTCAGCCACCGAGAGCACCGCGTCCACAGCAATCTCAGCAAACTGTCTGTGACAGCGGTTCACTCTGGAAGTATCATCTTATCATTATGATGTGTACTTTTTATAGTTGCCAATATAACAATATGTACTTATTTTGTATAGATCTAAAATACTGACAACACTGCAAATATCTGTAAGGCTCCTTTCACAACAAGTTTTTGTTTGGACTTGAAGTATAGAGAACTGAGCTACAATTATGACCATGACTTTTTCCCTCTTTTACCAATAAAAAAGATTTTGACAGCCAAATATTCTGAACAGAAACAAGCAAAATATTAATTTAAATTCATCATGCTTGGTCAACTACATATGAAATCTTAAAAACACACCAACCAAGTCCCATTCTTACATCTTGGACCCTAGTGTAGTCATAGCTGTCTCTATCAGCCTCTCCCTATGAGATTGGTCCAGTGGAAACTGATCACAAATTTTATCCAAGTGACCAATGGCGACCTGGGCAGCCATCTCGTAGCCGTCAGCTATTCTGATTGGATGGATTCCGCGGTCTAACAGCTGCTCCGCCTGCTCTAGAAGGGCACCTGCCATCACTGGAAGTAGAGGTATATGATAGCCAGTGTGACATATAGCAGGATCTTTTGAAATGTTTGACATAATTTCAGCCTTCATTCATACTAAAACAAGGTATTGTGAAGAATCCATGCTACTCTCTATTTACCATTAAACCTCCTTTCCCATTCTATATAAATACTACTGATTTTCGCTTCCTTAAACACTCATGTAATTCACACCACCAGTTTTGGAGCCAACTTATTTCAGTTTGCAAAGCATCGGTAAGTGACGACCTACCCACAACCCCCGTGGTGCCGTCTCCTATCTCATCATCCTGGGACTTGGACAGCTGCACCATCAGTTTGGCGATCTGGTGGTCAACATCCATCATGCTGAGGATGGTTGCCCCATCATTAGAGATGGTCACTTCACCATCTGAACTGACCATCATCTTGTCCAGCCCCTTGGGTCCCAGGGAGGTCCGCAGTGTGCTGGCCACTGTCTTGGCTGCCATGATGTGAGACTGAGGTATAAGGAAAATATATTCACTGAGTTAACATTTATAACAATAATATTGTGAGATAATAATCATGTAATACTGATTACGAATGGGGATATTGCATCCAAGATCTCGTGCTCTCAGGAATTAGAAATGGACTGTAAAGAAAAGAAAGGCAGTGAGTGCACTGAAAGTGGAGATGTTGTAGGAATCACTTCAGTGGTGGAGGGGGAGGTGGGGGCGGAATCTGCCACTACGTGGGTATTTCATAAGAGGCCAACATGAAGATTAATGCATTAGCACACCTATTTATGTATGTACTGTATGTGCTACCCCGGCAGAGATGTCGGCAGCTCACAAATATTCTGATTAACTCTCACTTCCTCAAGTTTGATATTTGCCAAAGGCAGGCTGAGATTGCAAGTAACCCAGTGACACCGACACACTGACACTTACATTAACTGGGTAATTTTACAGATCTAGAAACATCACAATTGAAAAATTAACAAAAGATCGACATAGAATATAATTTGCAGGGAATAAGACCTGCAAAAAAACACTTAACAAGCTGAAGACTCTATGCACCCCCACCCTTCAGTTTACCACTGTGACTGTCATTATTATGGTACCTTGTGAGCTTCGATGCCATGAAGCCGTGATTTCTTGTCCTGATCTTTCAAAATCAGAAACGGTCTTCCGAATTCATCGAAGGCGAGAGACCCCATCGACATCTTGACTTTTTAAACGTCACTGCTTGAGCCTCGATGATAAATAAATATATACGATTGTACAAGATTTCCAAGTGGTATACAAAACTTTCACGCTGCAGTAGTCCAAGATGGCCGACAAGTCTCGCGGCGAGAACGAGAACGAGATAGCAACAGAGAGTGCATAGCAACCTGCAAGCTCCACGCTACAGAGCACAGGGTTCCTCACAAAACCTGCAGCATTTTAACATCCCACCGTCTGTTTCTCCACCAAGGAAGCAATCATGGCGTTCTTCGGTCTAACAGAGATGGGTTACCAGGATACTATCAGGGAAAAGGTGGTCAACCCCACGTTTAACCCGCAGTATGACCCCATGGACAAACTCCCTCCAATCGTGGACCGAGAAAAGCTTCCCCGACCGTCCATCATTCCTATAAACCAGGTGTCTGCATACGGCGCGGGACCCCAGGGATCGTACGTAGAATACACCAGGCAGAGGACGAAACATATCAGAAACCCTAAAGGTAATTTGTTTTCAATGAGGGCTAAGTGTAAAGCTAGCCTACCCAGTATACATTAATGTTATTGTTATTAGTTACAATGCATGGTGTCCTTTGACCTTCTGAAAATGACACAGTATTTCATGTTGTCCGTAGACATGTTTCACAGAATGAATCTGGAAATATGTTCTTATTATTTGGATTATATCTGGATGAATGTACTAGAACATGTAGTTCATCTTCATTCACCTAACTAAAGGACACATACATGTACATGTACAAGGCAGAGGTCGATGCATTATAACGAGTAACATTACATGCAGTGTTACCCAGATGTGGAGATAGTTGGCTAAGGGTATAGGTAGGCGTGTATGTGTTTTGTGCCCTGAATTTTAGAGATCACTGGAAACAAATGCCTGTTATAATACCATGTCAGTAGTAATACAAAATGTATGTTAGTATTCTTGCAGTGCTATTCTAAGTCAAATATTGCAAATTTGGGATAATGGACAATATTGCTGTGTACAGGTAAAAACCCCCTACAGTGTATTAATGTTACCTTATATTTCATATGACAGGTCCACTGGCTATATACAGAGATAAGACAATCACATCTCACGACTATGGCTGGTGGAATAAGGACGCTCCCCTGAAGCAGAAGGAGCCGTGGACGCATGTGAAGAGACACGTGTTTGTAAACAGTGAAATGACAAGGTAGGGAATGTCTTGACTGCCTGTGCAGGTATTATCTGTAATTCTGGTCATAGTAGCTATCATTTAGCTGATAGCACGACTGTGGGAAAACGAGTTCATATTCTTGCAAAGAGAATAGAAGTCACATAATTCAAGCATGCAAGTCATAAACAGGGCTATTTTAAATGAAGTCTGAACCATAGTATATTTGTGTCAAGTATATTTGTGGTTTTAAATCAGCAATGTCATTTTGCCTGATGATTAAAATGCTCATAAAACTCATACAAGAAGAAAAAATTATACACTGAATTTGTATTGTGACATTTCTTGTTTTCTCTTTCAGATTTGTAAATGAAATGAGCCTTACCAACAGGGAGTTTTCACTGTTTTAAAAGGATTTGCAAAGCCTCTTACAAAGACAATTTTATCTGATTTATGGAAGGAAATTTTGAAGCAAGAAGACTCAAGATCAGTACATTTTGATGGATTACAAAACATTTGGGATTGAAAATATATTTGTTTGTGATTTAATTGAAGAGTAAAATTGGAAACAAATTGGGAAGATCATGATGAAGAAAAGTCAATGATATTTTTGTATACTGTGATTTTATACAATCTAATGGCAGTGAAATGTTTATTTTTGGACTTTTATTTAGTGATCATTATTCGACAATCTGGAAACCAAAAACGACAATTAAGCAATAAGTGTGAAAAAAACAATATCAACTATTTATTAAGACTATCATGAGCTGAACTCCCAGTACCAGTGGAATGATCTTGTCATGTTTTGTACAATCAGATAATTTATCACCTCACATTGTAACTTTTGATATTGTGGTCAACTGCCAAATATCGTTATTTTAGTCACGTTTCTAACAAGCAATGTTTATTTCCTAAACTGAATGACACATTTTGAAAATGAATTGTTAACTTGTTTAAAAGTGGACATGTGTCTTATATTAGTGGGAGTTTCTAAACCCTAACTGTACTGATACTCGCAACTACATGTATTTAGGTTATTGTTATACTCTTGTTGTCGACACTTTCCCACCTTGACGTTTACGATTGCGCCATGGTTTTAAGCTGGTTTTTTTGTGTAAAAAGATGTCAGATTCATGAATTGGTCATACCTGGACAGTGAACTGTGGTTGTCGACTTTGAACAGTTTGTGAGTTGTTTAAAACTGTCGCGGTGAACTTCCACTTTCAGCGTAAACTTCTACGCATTCAGACGGGTGCTATTACCAATACACTTTGTACGTACTTTACAGAGATTGCAGTGAGTTAAGCGTGTTTTCTACTTTCGGTGTGTAAATAATATTGTTATATGTAAATGTGGAGGGTTTCATGGATAGATTATTCAAATAACAAGCAATAAATGTAATATAAAAAGAATAATAAATGCAAGTCAGTCTTTCAAGAAAGTGTATTTTGTTGTTGCAGAATTTAACAAAACTGTCAGTAATGCGCATTATTATTTATTTATTTATTTATTTATTTTTTACTCGACTAATTATGTTGGCATGTGTTATTCTCATTTTAATAACACGTTAATCAACAGATCTACACAGACAATAAAAACGAAATGTTTGTGTTCCATGCACGAGATCAAGCACACCTAACACACTCGGGACTCTCCGTGATTAGCCGGCACACCTAACACACTTGGAACATTCCCTGAATACGCTCTTTCCTGCTCTTTTCCTTAACGCGTTCATCAAAATCGATTCCGGAAAACCAGCCATACAAAACATTCATCCGTAATACTATTACTAATAGCCCTAGGCTCTATCTCGATACTAATGATTCCAAGGTAGAATAAAAGTACATATAAATGGAAAGGGGTGTGTAGGTGTAGTCCCTACAATAGATTTACCAGGAGCACTCTGGCGCCAGCCTTGACGCTGTGACCACATTCTAATAAAAAGCCACCTTTAGATTGCGATAATTGATTAACACGTGCGTAACTCGGGGTTGTTGTTTTATCCTGAGCTATAGTCTAGATCTCTCCTCAGGGTATTTTAATAAACCCTAAAGCAGGGTCTGTCGTCCAATTTGTTTTAATCGATTTCAGGCTGACATAAAAGCTATGACATCCTGGCATTTTAAGGCGAGAAACGAAAACGTACATAAAAAAACCTGCAAAACGCAAAGATAACAATACTTTTTAATTAACTTTTTCAATCCACGATAAGTAGTGTGCTTATGTGCTTTTTCTTTTCTTCATGCTTATTCAAGAGTTGTCCTTCGATTATTTTCAGTACAGAAGACATGATTGTATCTTTTCTTTCATGTGAGAACTTCCTATATTAGTCCTACATGAAATTTATAATATAAATGAGTTTTCCGACGCCATACGCGTGTTCTAGGCCGGGCGTCCTTTCATCATGCTTCATAAAGAACTTTTGTATCAATTTCTTTAGTTTTATTGATGGACATTTTTTTCAGCGTATTTCTGGACGTACAATGTCTGTGGATATACTGTACAAAAGGACTGTGGCAATTACAGCGTTGAGTCTTCCTCATCTTATTAAAACGTGTACAGATACTGTATATTATATCATCCGGATGTGGTGTAATTCCCACAAACCTTTTAGTTTAATGCAGTTTGCTAGTAACTATTAGTAATATTCCTCGCTGCATTATTCAGTGTTCTGGAATAGTGTATTTGTCGACTCGGTCCATTGACAACGTAATAAAGATAGACGGTGTAAATGCCAAATGGCTTGGTGTAATCGTATCAATCAATTTATGGCGTTTTGTAGAGTGCATTGTTAATACAAATATTGCAAGGCGGTCTCACACGGTCGAATTTCTATATAATTACGTATTTAATCAATCTCATAGTCATGAAAAAATAAGTTTCATCAGTTTAATACAAAAAAAGGATTTTTCTTCTTTTTTTAACTAAAGGAAGCATTTCGGCTATTGTTTATTGGACCTGGTACACCTTCATAAAAAGAAGTCCTGACATTTGAAATGTTCGTTCACTCCTGTCGTTAACCAAAAAGTTAATTTCAAACAAAATTCAGCATTTTACATATATGACACTATACCTACTACAATTGAAGGACTGCTGTGTGAAATGGTGTTTGTATTAATTATACTCTTGAGTGGTAGCAAAAAAGTCAGACAGACCATCGACTTTTTGATAAAGTAAGGAATGATTCTCCTTTGTGTTTTTCAACACTGATTTAACTGGGNATTTTTTAACACTGATTTAACTGGGATAATTACAGTAATCCACCTCCCCTCCCCTGCCGCCTCCATGTCGCGGATGTCATACTCAAGCCGGTGAAGTCATTATTCTTTTCACGAACTCTCAGGTAAATGTAATTTTTCTCTACAGAATTTTTATCGAAGCTAACACCTGGCGGTGCAGCTAATTGATGACCTGTCGCAAAGTTTCAGATATACCATACCAGGAAATAATTATTTTTCTCTGAATACAAGTTCGCAGATCAAAGCCCCATTGAAGCAAAAGAATGAAAGGCAGTAATCAGAAAAAGAAGACTTATTTAGAACGCATGAAGTGAAGCTTGACGTAACGATCAGAAAGGTCGATCGTCCGAGAAGAAGATCCCGCACGAGAACGGGTTAAGTTAAATTGCTTTAAGACTAACTGAAGAAGGCAGGTTGTTGTTTGTTTTCTCCTACTGAGTAATCATGATCTCCGTGAGGTTGAAAAATTATGAAATTTATTTTCATCATCATTTCCGAGAAAGATATCAGATGCTGAGATATGCATGTCAATTCCTCTTTCTTTTGTAATAAAGTTTTCGATTCGTTTCTACAAGCCTTTAACGACATCGCAATCGATGACTAAATGCTTATATTGTTTCCATTTTTTTTTCAGTTTGGATTGTCAGNGTTTTTCAACACTGATTTAACTGGGATAATTATAGTAATCCACCTCCCCTCCCCTGCCGCCTCCATGTCGCGGATGTCATACTCAAGCCGGTGAAGTCATTATTCTTTTCACGAACTCTCAGGTAAATGTAATTTTTATCGAAGCTAACACCTGGCGGTGCAGCTAATTGATGACCTGTCGCAAAGTTTCAGATATACCATACCAGGAAATAATTATTTTTCTCTGAATACAAGTTCGCAGATCAAAGCCCCATTGAAGCAAAAGAATGAAAGGCAGTAATCAGAAAAAGAAGACTTATTTAGAACGCATGAAGTGAAGCTTGACGTAACGATCAGAAAGGTCGATCGTCCGAGAAGAAGATCCCGCACGAGAACGGGTTAAGTTAAATTGCTTTAAGACTAACTGAAGAAGGCAGGTTGTTGTTTGTTTTCTCCTACTGAGTAATCATGATCTCCGTGAGGTTGAAAAATTATGAAATTTATTTTCATCATCATTTCCGAGAAAGATATCAGATGCTGAGATATGCATGTCAGTTCCTCTTTCTTTCGTAATAAAGTTTTCGATTCGTTTCTACAAGCCTTTAACGACATCGCAATCGATGACTAAATGCTTATATTGTTTCCATTTTTTTTTTTTCAGTTTGGATTGTCAGACATTTTTTGTTTGAACAGTCGATATTTTGTACATAGAATTCTATGAATAAATCTAAAGTTGAATCATTTACTTTTGGACTCTTTCTTATCTTCATAGATGGCTTAGATAATGAGGTGCTAGTAGCTAAGTCTTCATGTTATTGTTTAATTTTTAATTTTTATCCTTCTTATTTCAGGTGTTTATTTCACAAGCAACAGCATCTGTATTCGGTAGCTATGCTTCATGATACAGATAAAAAGGTTGTCATCAATGTACCAAGTTTCATTTTCCTGTTCGTTCACATTATTCCCTACGGACTTGACGCCTACAATGTTTTTTTTTTTTTTTTTTTTTTTTTTTTTTTTTTT